ATTGCCATGCTTTCGTGCTTCGTTGCACTGAAAGCAATTTTGTTCATTGCAGATTTTTTTTTCTTGTATGTAATCTTTGATCACTTCTCCACTGAGACTATTGATCATCAAATGATACTGTCTGTATAAAGTCGTGTTAATTAACAACACCTCAACTCAATTATGTGATTGAGAGAGTCACAAACTATTTGGTTCGTCATTCATTAATTTTTAAATATGGGAACTTTTGGGTCCCATCGACTTTCCAGATTTGTAAATTTTCAATATTGAAAAAGAAAATAATACAAATCATGAGAATATGAAACAACAACAAAAATTAATTGGCGCCCCGGGGCGACTTCACTGATTCCAGTGGCGCACTTGCTTTTTCAGCTGCAGGTAAACCTAGAAAAACCTGTAGCACCACATCATCTGAAGATCTTGATCTGCCAATGTCCTCTCTTTCAAAAAACAAAATGTAGTGTATCTCCAGAGGCTCCAATAAATTCAAGACATCGCCAGAACACTTAGTGACACGACTATCGTCAAACTTAAACCAGTCCGTTTCGTCTTTGACCAAGGCGTAATAATGACCAAATTCAACGCCAGAACCACAGTGAACAATGACTGCATGACTAGATTGAAGTGTTCATCTATTTCGAACCTTCGTTTGGTGCTTCCGTCAGAGGTTGAGTGATGTTTGAAGATCATCAGTGTTATAATTAGTTTGACTGGTGCCTCAGCTATACTTGTTTTCTTATAATAGTCAGTTAGTTTGGCGCATGTTTGACAATACAGTCGATCATCACCCGTTAAAAGTTCCATTTTCAGATGATTCAACAATAAGCTTTTCAAGTATCAGAAATTGTATCGAAAAGTCTCAAAATGCTAGTTTTGTGTTGACAATTTTTACTGATGTTTCAATTGAAGTTTTTGGTATGGAGTCGTTAAATTGTGTTTGGCAATAAAATACGAATATTTGTATAAGCGTGACGAAACCCAACAATTGTTCAGTAACGTACTTCGAAGGAGACCTAGTAGATTTTGCCAGAGGTTTGAAACTCGTTCTGCAATACAGGTATTCATTGAATTGCACCGCCTAAAAAGATGCTAATGATGATAGGTTTTGGTTCGATGAAATCACTAACAGCGCCATCCTTTGTGAGAAAGTTAGCAGCTTCCAGGCCAAAGTAGCCAGGAATCCTTACCAGAGACGAGAACTAAGTGTGAGATAGGTTTATGCCAATCTGTCCACACACAAATCAAAAGCTGATATTTCCGCTTAAAATACGTAAAAACTGACCTTTATTGCGAAATGAATTCCCCAACACAGAGTCAACCACGGCCTACGTTTAGCTAAAATTCAAGCATTTGGTATAGGCGGAAATATTTTGCAAGTAATACTGAGGCAATAACTTCTCAACTGGTAGAACTCTGTCTGTAAAATACGTAGATACAACATCTACGCCCATTCAGGTTTCATATGGGCCAATTTCTGTTCAACTTGTTTGTTTTCAAAAATTCAGAATCTCTTATGTTTGCGGACGATCTCAAACTTTATCGAACAATTACTTGCCGGGAAGTTGCTGAATTGGTTGAAAGCTTTTTCCATGTGGTCTAGAAATAATTTGTTAGAGGTAAGCATCGATAAGTGCCAAATCATTACGTTCGCTAAAATTAGAAGTCCAATAATTAAGCTCTTGAAAGAGAACAATTTATTCGCGATCTGGGAGTTTAACTTTTCATATCAAACAAAAAGATACGAGAAATCCTGACATTTCTCATATGATTTTTTTCCATACCAATTATGCTTTAAATAGTCCGATTCCTTGTATTCCGAAGCTGGGAAATCAATATCATAATAACTTAGATCTGCTCAATATGTCACTCCAGGTCTTTAAAAATCAATTGAAAAGGCTATAGCGTTTCCGAAGCTTTTCTTTGCCTTACCATTTTCTTTGTATGTACCAGATTTGTTACATCTTTTTCTTTATAAGTACCAGATTCATTTCATTTTTTAGTAATGTAGTCACTAGGATAGTAGGATTCATTAATATTTTGTATTTCACACTTCTCTGAATGTTTTGTGAAATTGTAAATTGTAATGTATACATTAGACATGAGCATTCAAAAATACCTTATAGTTCTTCACACTTTGTTAAATATGTTTTTGTGAATTAACTTTGCCGTTAAATGAATAAATAAATCAATATATCCACATGAAATTCAGTACGGAAAAAACGCTATAGGCTTTTACAATAAGCAGTGGCTTACTGCAACTTTTTTTTTTCAACGGCGTCGACTTTTAGAGTGACCTGTGAGAAGGCCTATCTAACAGGCCTTCTTACAGGTCACTGTCATTTGAATCATCACATGCAGAGACTTGGACTGTCGGAAGACAGTCGGAAGACTGCAGAGCATATACTTTGTGCCTGTCCCGCTGATGGGGACCAAATCAGGTTCTTTGAGTTCGGCAGATCCGTACTCTCACCATCTGACCTGAAAGACCACTCACCATACAAACTAATCGGCTTCGTTAAGAAGCTTGGTTTGTTTGGCCGAGTGTAAATAGGTGTGAACCACAATGAACCCTTATGGGTTGCGGTGGAGGGTCGAAAAGACCCACTCACTTTAGACCTACCTACCTACTATCGTCATTAGCCTCGTGTTCTGAGTAAGTCTGTGAATAACTCTCCGAGCCACTTAGAGAGCATAAAGCCTATTCGCATCCCGTCATCCATAATGCATCCACCTTCAACTATACAGGGCATTTATTGAACCTGCGGCAAACATTTAGGGGACTATTCCTTGGATTCTTCTAAGAATATTTTGTCCTTTGATGATTTTTGATAGGGCGCTTTGTTTCTAAGATACGGAGCGAAAAAGAATTTCTACAATAACAATTCAATAACAAAAATCACATGTGATGTTTCTTAATCTACAAAAACTGTTGGAAATCACTACACCCTGCTCGGATGCAAGCATCCAATCTTCTCATCGACTCTCGAACTCTTTCAAAAACACCAGGATCACTTACGAGACATAATATTCAAATTGAATGTCTGCAGCCGTTTGTAGTAATCGGAATGTTGTTGATAGGTACCAATGGAATTGTTAGATTTTGTATTACTTTGTAGGTCCAGTGTAGTACGCTATACTTTTATTTCGGCTACGTTAATAATTTTAAAATTACCAAAATTATTATTGTCGAAATTTTTTTCACTCCGTATCTTCGAAACAAAGCGCCCTATCAAAAATTATCAAAAGATAAAATATTCTAAGCATAGGCCAAGGAATAGTCCGTTGATTTTTTCCGCATGTTTAATGAACACCCTGTATACATTCCTGATGAGTAGAATTTATAACATCAACACGTATTGAAGTGTGATGTTATAGTATATTCATTTTTTCAATAATTTCCACCAATCTATTCATTAGTGAATCTTGGTTCATTTTCGAAAACTATCTTTAGTCTTCAATTTTCTTAAAAGGCGAGGGTTCACGAAGGCACTATTGAAATTTTCTCTTCCTGATTGACTTATCCACTATGTTTGAGAAACCCTTTACTTTCAGCCATCTCCATGTTGACTTTGTTCTCGATATCATTTTTTTCTTTGCTAATGAAATAATGATAAAAAACGTTTAAAACAAGCATTTATTTGAGTGCCCTAAAAAGATCAAAATAAAATTTTAAATCACATTAAGCATATTCATTTATGACTTTACAGAATTGAAATTATAATAAAAGCTTGTCGCGATGCCTAGAAGAAATCTCTACATATTCAGTCAAATGAAAATAAATTAAGAAACATTCTGACAGATCAACTAGGTACTGCAATAAATTTCAAACACGATAAATCCTGTGTGCAAAAAAGTTATTCAAGGTTAATGTTCCACATTTTAAGCATTCACGGCACTTATGAATTGCTCACAAGTTTAGTAAGTGCCTNTCACTTGGTTCTAGGGTTTTTTGAACTCTGCACTAATTCTTCTATCAGGTGGCCTTTGGCAAGTTTTTCATTTCGTTTCAATTTCTCTTTCTCTAACCTTCTTTTCTTTTGTGTTGATGTTTGTTTATTTCCCATAGTGTTCCCACGAGTACCGACGAAATATTGCTCAACCCTCCCAGAGCTTCGTTTACCAGGGTAAGAGCTAATGTACAACAGGGTGCGCTTCGGTACCCTGAAGTGGTACGTTCACGACATCATTTTACACCCTGATGCCACTCTGTCCTCGACACGGCCTCACCTTCACTTGGGTGGTAATTTGGAAAACCCGTCTAGGAGTTCCCGTTCCGGGTTTGATTTTGGAGTTTTCCTTCTCCTAGGCGGGTTGCAGACCAATGCTAATCGCCCATCTCACCAAATTAATTAAGTCATGGTATGCCTCTTGTGCCTGTTGCTCACATTGCGTGATGGATCCTCTTACTCTGGAAACTTTGAGGGTGGTAGATAATAATATTTTTCTACACTGCAAATAAATATGGGTTCTTACAACCTACTGTACTATTTATTTCTTTTTAGGTAAAAGCTTGATTTAATTTTTTTTCTAAAAATCTATTTTTTTATTGAAGCCAACCCTGGATGTGGCATCTACTTCATGGTGCCTATCATAAACGAATGCGTATACAAAATTTCGTGTCCCTGTTATTTACCGCTGAAGAGATCTCTCGTACGGAGCCGATCCTGGCAGCAGCATCAGGTCACGTTTATGATTAACATGCATTATCATTGGTTTTGGACCAGCATGCAAAATTTCAGGTCAATCGGATAGCGGGAAGTGGGTCAAATTAAACTTCCAAGATTTGTTAACATACATACAAGTCAAGTTGAATAAAAGCTTTTGAAAAAGAATGTGACCAGTATGAACATGAAAATGTAGTCCCGCCTTTTTTTGTTCACTTCACTTTTATTATAGTAACTGTTATTTTCACCACAAAAACTTGCAAAAGAATAATTAGTGAATGATTACCCTCTCGTGTTGTCGATAAATCATATGGATATTTTTCTCTGTCTAGGTTTCATGTGGAAATTCAGAAAGATTTCGGTCCTGTGGGCCAAGAATTCCTAACAGCGGATCAGCCTACGAAGAAACTTCGGAAAGGTTGCTACGATGTTGGTTTGGGATTTTATGATCCAAATGATGGCTGTATATTTTCGTATCCAAAAAAAACTAGAACTTCGTTCTCAAGGTTTGTATATAATTTAAAAATTGATTTCATTTGCAAAATAATTCTTTTCTGATAATCAGATACAGACTAAGTTCTCTTATGTTATGTAAATTATCACGTACGTACATTGAAAATATTTTTTCTGTGCGAATGCATTATTTTAGTTAACAAACATTGGAAAATTCAACTGAACATGAGAAATAGTCATGGGATTCATATTCGAATATGATTTTCAACAAGTTAGGAACATTTTTAGAAGAGGGTGAAAGCTATTTTCCGGTTTTTTGACCAAGGTCTGCAGGTTCTTATGCCTGACGTTTCATCTACTACTGCGGTAGACATCGATGTGGTAACGGACGTAGTACCCAAGTTGGTGCTAGAGTTGTTGTTCCCGTTGTTCCGAACATATCAAATACGATGGTGGTATTTGACTCTGTTAATATATTATTATTAGTGGTCGTGGCTTGGTTTCTCTTAATTGGATCACCTGACCTTATTTGTGTATGCGTGTGAGGATAGGTTACCTGTCCTCAAAGGTTTTCTGTGAAAAAGAATTCATGATAAATATGTGGCCAAATCTGACAAAGATGAAGTAATTGGTTTTATGAAGATCTCTTTCCGACCAAATCATAAAATCGGCTCATATTCGTAAAGGGCAAAAAAGAGTGGTTTCCACAACTAGTGCTGAGGGGGGAAAAACAACCACAATTATGTATTCGGTGAGAAGAAACTCATCTCAGTTTCTTGTGTTCCCTAGGAATCTATATTGTCTCCAATCCTCTTTCTATTGTATATAAAAGCAATATTGCTTTGCTGACGACAGCACACTTGTCTCGTCATTCCATTTGGAGTCCAGGATATCGGCTACGGAGGGACATCTTCACCGGCATCAGGAGGTTGCATATCTTAACGAGGATCTAGAAGTAATTTCAAATTGGTGTGAAAGTAACCAGGTTCATTCCATGCCACAAAAACCCAGGCATCGGTTTTCTTCAAAAAGGTAAATGTCTCCGAACTGGATATAATAATATCAGGTCAGACAATTCCACTTTCAGCTTCGATTAGTTTGTTGGGGGTTAAAATGAACACTAATATGTCCTGGCACAATCGTGCGCTGGAATTGCAAAGGTTGCTTCTCAAAAGCATGGAACACTGTTTCGAACCAGAAAACTGTACACACCTCAGCAACTTTTGATACTTTGTAAAGCTCGGCTCAAACCTTTGGAGTATTTTTCTCATGCATGGAGTATCCACCCCCAAACATACCCTGAAGCTGC